AGCAATATTATAAGCTATCTCTGAATGTCATTAGGTATCTTTGGGAAAATGGCCAATGGAAGCATCTGACTATGGTGATGGTCATATTCTAAAATCATCTGGGGAAAAGTGGATTTCCATTACTTATCAGTCTTCTGTAGACAGTCTAAGCCTGAGCATTCTGGGACCCTTGGTTAGAACAACCAGAAGTGCAGCTTAGGCTATTCCTTGAGAGAAATAGGAATGTTAGAAGAATGGTATAATTGTTCTACGTCTCTGTTAAACAAGCACAGTAATGCAAAGAGTTCAAGATGGCTCAGTGTTTTGTTATCTTACTTATAGGAGTAAAGACAGGATTAGTCACTTCTACAGTGAATAAAACAAAATCTCCTTTGAAATTGTCTATTGCGATGGTTGCAAATCCTGGAGATAATTTAAAACCTGGTAATAATCCCAGCACTTTGGGAGGACAAGGCAGGCGGATCACTAGGTCAAGAGATAGAGACCATCCTTGCCAACATGGTAAAAACCGTCTCTACTAAAAATACAAAAATTATCTGGGTGTGGTGGTGTGCACCTCTAGTCCCAGCTACTCAGGAGGCTGAGGCAGGAAAATTGCTTGAACCTGGGAGGTGGAGGATGCAGTGAGCCCAGATTGTGCCACTGCACTCCAGCCTGGTGACAGTCAGACTCCATCTCAAAATAATTAATAATAATAATAGTAAATAAATAAAACCCTGGGAAATTTTAATTGAATCAGAATATCTGAGGGTGTGACCTGGGCATTAGTATTTTGCAAATCTTCCCCTGGATATTATAAAATCCATTTAAGGTTGGAACCCACTGATTTAAGAGGAGGTCTAGTCATGTTTACATGCACAGCAAGTAATATAAATCCTTCTTGCATGAATTGATTTTAAATGCCTCTTGTCTTACTTCTCCAAGTTTCCTTTAGTCTTACTCATATATTAACATTCCTTCTTCCTATACAGATAAACTTCTTCATCTTATATCATTCCCATCTTGTGCAGTATTAAAAATCATTTTCAGAGTGGTTTATTAATCAATCAATATCTACATCTCACATTCTTTTGTTATTTTGCAAGAGTACTGGAAGTGGTAATAAAATAATTATTTGTGTTAGACATAATCCCTCTCAAAAGAACAGCTGAGTAGCATCTACACTCCTTTTCTGATCTATGCTCCTTTTGTTATTCTATGAAGCATTTGTGCTATAGTTGTTATTCACAAGTATTGATGGTGTATACATGTCAGTGAATGCATAATGCCCTCTGCCTGTTTCACAGTAGTAATATAAACTATATCTTCCCATATCAAGTGCCATGTGAAAGAGCAGTGCATCTCTGTCTTGCTGACAAACAAGTCAGCTGATAATGCTGAGAAACCAAGTCTCCACATTTTTAAAAGAGAAAACAGAATTCTGATCTTTCCTTAGTGATGTTTCATTTTTACTACATACTTCATTTATTTGTAACTGAATCTACACTCTCATGATGTAGAGAGCTCTTTTTCTTTTTTATATTTTGTCGGTGGTAAATGTGTTTTAGTGTTTTCTTACTCACTGGGCTACAAACAAATTTTGTTTAACACACTAATAAGAACATGGATGGAACTAGAGGACATTATGTTCAATGAAATAAGCCAAGCATACAAGGACAAATAGTCCGTGCTCTCACTCTTAAATGGGAGCTTTAAAAAAAATGATTTTATGGATGTAGAGAGTAGAATAATGGTTACCAGAGGTTGGGAAGAAAAGTGAGGAGGAGAAGATTAACAAGGTTTGGTTACTGGGTACAAAAAAACAGAAAGAATAAGATCCAGCAATCAGTAGCACAGTAAGGCAACTATTGTTAACAATATTTATTGTCTATTTCAAAGTAGCTAGAAGAGAAGATTTGGAATGTTCCCAACTCAAATAAATGATAAAGGTTTCAGGTGTTGAATATCCCAATTACTCAGACTTATTTGTTACACACACGCCTGTATTAAATGTAACACACATGTGTGTAATTATTATCTATTCCTAAAAATTAAAAACTAAAAAAAAAAGAAATGATGGTTAAACTAGTGTTGTTTTAAAAAAAAAAAAAGTGTTTTTATTTTTCCCTGCCTATACTTCAAAGATATTACTACAGAAATTAAAGTACTTTAAGCTCCTGGGGAAAAAGAAATACGTTCTAATAATAAAATTTAAATATGAAGAGAGAGATGAATTATTCTTTACAAAGAAAGACTAATGATTCTTTACAAAGCCAGACTTGAATGTTTATCATATTTCTATTGGGAAGGTCCAGAAATGCGTTAAGTTTTTAAGCCACGCAAATGGACATGGTTAATTTCTTTCTGGTGCTTGGAGTCCAGTTCGGTAAAAAACTCTTGGTTTTAACAATTTTTCTCACAATGGTGTAATAATATAAATTCTGTACAAACCAAGCCCTAGAGTATGCACTCAGAAATAGCTGAGATCATGTGGATGTTGTGGTTGGGGTATGCTTGAGTGTTTGATGAAGGGAGTACAATAAGGAAGAACATTTCATGCAATTGTAATAATCAGGCAGTTGAGGGACAAGTAAGTAGCCATGCTTATGGGAAAAGCAGAAAAAAAAAGCAGCCTATATTATCCAGAGCTATTTGATAGAGAAGTTTGAATAAGAGACTCCAAAGAAGTAAATGACTCAAGTTATCATTGTTATTTCAAACACTGATTTACCTGGAAATGAGGTGCTATTTAAAAAAAAAAAAAAAAAAAAAGTTACTACTTGGTGAGAAGTTTAGCTTTGTTCAACTTTGTTCAGCTCTGAGCCCACTCTTCTTTTGTAGGATGAAAGAGGACTGAGATAGGGTCCCCAGGTCCAGAACTAGGTTTGGGGATAGGAAAGAAGATATAGAAAGATCTAGAAATAGACTATGATGAGGACAAATGCAGATTTATATCTCAGGTGAGTCAAAGGTGAATGCTAGAGAAGCTACATTAAGTCAAAGGTAAACTAGGCATGAGGCAAAAGAAAGGACAGCACTGCTTGAGGTCAGAAACAGAGAACAAAGCCCACTAGAAGAAAAGGCAAGACGAAAGACTACTGAATGTTGTTAGTGTGCTAGGAGTTTATTTTCACCAGATCCAAGTGTATTAGGTAGAGTGAAATGCGCAGCTTCTGTGTTGGCAGGAGTCATGGAGCACTTTGGGAGGACATTCGGTTTTGCTTTTCTAGATAAAAAACTAAACAGTAAAAGTAGAGAAACAGACAAGGTAATTTTTGTGCTATGGGATAGGAAGTAAATTTCATAATTGTTAAAATAAGATGAGTCACAAATCATTAGTCATCGCTAACTCTGTCTTGCTTTGAAAAGGTTGGAAGTATGAGAATAAATACAGTGAAGTATGAGAAGAAATAAATTATGCTGGAAAACAATTATTGGAATAAAACTAGAGAAAAGCAGAAGAAATTTAGAGAAGTAGGCAGTCTGTCTTGGCGCTGTTGTTTGAATATATTAATGTATTTCATGGCCATCAAAGACTTTATGTTTGCCAGGACTTGCAGATCTCCTGGTAGCATTTTATAAATAGAGGTTCCATCCAGAGAAATAATTAGTTGGAAATTCTATTTCCAGTTATGTGCAAATATGTGAGACATGGGATGAATCCATTTGAAAGAGTATGAGAGTTTATTGGTTCCTACTAGAAGAAAGCATATCCTCCCATAATGATATTATCTACGTCTGAATTTACTTCTGCTTCCATTCAATTAACCTTGGCAAGTATATAATGATTTACCAATAAGGAAGGATCAACAGATGACCCAAGGTGGTTATAGAACACTTGATCTTTTCAAAGAGTCGATGGTTACTTTGCCTGTTAAAATCCTCTAGTATATCTGATCCTTGACCTATATACAGGGTATGTTGGTTCACATCTTTCCATTAAAGGAGGAGCTAATGGTTTTATAGCTTAAATTTTTAAGGCTTTTTTCCTTTTTCTATAATGACAGTCTTACTAAGCCAAAGATAAAAGGGTAACTAGCTCAAATAGGTGAGCTCACTGTGAAAGAGCTCCTGCTGTATGTAGTGAACAGAGGCCCTACAAAGGAGAGGGAATCAGGAGCCTCCCCCATCACCCACAGCACCCTTTACACTCTGACCTTGGATCTCAAACAAGCAGTTCTCTCCTAATAGTCCACAGAAAACTAACAAGTAGGGTCCATGGAAAAATGAATGTGATAGGGTAGTGCCTTGAAGTTTAAAATAAAAACAAATTTATGTTTCATAATTAGATTTTTTTATTCTAATGTACAAGATATTATACATGTAACCTGGACTGTTAAAATTGGAATTTTCACTGATATTTGTTAGATATAGCATACAAGATACAACAGCAAATAATAAAGTGGCAACGTAAATGACCAAGAATCAGCTTCAGAACACTTGAGGGATCCCTGAGCCAAATGGAGATCAAGATGAACAGTGCCAATCAACGGAAATATAATTTGAACCATATGTGTAATTTTAAATTTTCTAGCAGTCACATTAAAAATAAAAATTAAAAAGTGAAACTAATTTTAATATGTTTTATTTAACTCAACAATGTTAAGATAGTAGTCTTTCAGCATATAATAAATTTTAAAAATCATAAATATGATACGTTGTCTTTTTGTCATACTGTCTTTTGGAAGTCTGATGTGTATTTTGTACTTAATAGCACATCTCAATGCAAAGCATATTTCAAATACCTAATTATAACATGTGACTATCAGCTGCAGTACTGGACAGTGTAGTATCTACACATGGTGGTTTCAAAGAGTGATTTCCAAACTAGAAGCATCAGCATCATCTGGGAATTTGGCTGGAAGTGCAAATTATCAGGCTCTATCCTAGACATACTGAATTGAAAACTCTGAAGATGGGGCCTAACATTTTGTGTTTTAAAAAGCTGTCCAAATGATTATGATGTCCACTAAAATTTGGGAACCACCAGTCTATAACAGCAAACTTCTAAAATTTTTATGGGCATACAGATCACTTGATCTTGTTAAATGTAGAATCTGATTCAATAGATCTCATGCTGGACCAGAGAGTCTTCATTGCTAGCAAGATACCAGGAATGAGGCAGTTGTAGTGCTGAGGGGCTGCACAATGGTGCTCAATCCCAATGGCATCCCCAAGATTGAAAATCACAGGCTTGGAATTTGAAAGGGTGTGAGAGAATTTTATAAGAAAGATTTCTGGATTGAGAGCTGCTAGTACCATTTCCTCTCCTATAGAAGGAAAGAATGTTATTTCTCCCACCTAAGGCTTACTAAGAAGGACTTTGTGGGTACCACTGAAAGTGCTTGAGCTGCTTCTCTTGGAGTTTAGAGGACATGGTGATCTGGAGTCAGATTCCTTCCCATGACATCTAGGTATTAAGAGTGATCAAGGTAGGTCACTCTGGCAGAGGAGCCAAGGTGGGTTGTGCTATTTCTTGGAATATATTATTTCATAAGGTGGATGATATAGGTTGAATACTGTTCACCTAAATTTATAAATTGAAGTCCTAATCCTCATACCCCAGAACGAGAATTGTATTTGAACATAGAGCCTTTAGAGGAGTGTAACTAAGGCAAAATAAGGTCTCATGAGTTGGCACTAATCTCATATGACTGGTGTCCTTAGAAAAGATTAGGACAGAGACAATACAGACCTGGCGACAACTAGATGAGATCACAGTAAGAAGGCCCTCTGCATGGCAAAGAGAGAGAGGCCTCATTAAAAAACAAACTTCCAATGACCTAATCTTAGATTTCTAGTTTCAAGAAGCATTGTGAAAGCAAATTTCTGTTGTTTAAGCCATTCAGTTTATGATAGTTTGTTATGGCAGCCTGAGAAAACAGATACCATGAAAAATAATACATCTAAGGATGTCTGTGGGTCTCCTGTGGTCCAAATATGAACTCTATGAGAAAGAAACGCAACCTCAACTATTAAAGTGCTGACCAAGAAAATGTTATTAAAGATGCAAGGTGACTTTACTGCCAAAGCCTGCACTGATTAGAGCATAGAAAACTGCTGGCTGGTATGGGTGGCCAGCCAGGGAAAACACCTAGTCTGGTATCAGAGTTGCAGCTGGAGGCCTAACAAGGGTACTCCCAAGTCCCAGATAGCATACATGAGAGAAAGAATCAGCTTGAAAGAAGGCAGAGCAAGAGAGCCAAACAGAACCCTCCAGAGATTATCTTCCCCACAGTAAAAAACAAATTGAGTAACTATCCGTACAAGAAAGTTCCTTTATAAGAATCAAAAATGAGGTGAGCAGAGTACCTGGTTTTAACATCATATCAAGGAAAGAGGCACTAAAGAGGGTACAAAAGACAGTCTTGGATTGCCTACACCACCTCTCTCCGATCCTCCAGCAACAGCCTCTTGACTCAGAAAGAAAATCTGTGGGCTTGGGGGAGGAGAGCACAGTGATCATGGGACTTTGCATTAGAATTCAGTGCTGCCCTATCACAAGGAAAGCAACCAAGGGCAGGATTCAGGTGGTGCCCAGAGAGGAAGCATTTAGACCAGCCTAACCGGAGAGGAATCATGCACCACAACAGTCAGAGTCTAAGTTTTGGCTAGTCCCACCACTGTAAGCTAAAGTTCTCTGGCATTCTACATAAATTTGAAGGTAGTCTAGGCCAAGAGGACTGCAGTCCTGGTGCTATGCTGGGCTCAGAGCCAGTGGACTTGGGGTGCATGTAAACCAGTGAGAGATCAGCTGAGGCAGTCAAGGGAGTGCTGTGTTACCCTTTCCTCAACTCCAGGCAGTGTAGCTCACAGCTCAGAGAGAGATTCCTTCCTTCTACTTGAGGCAAGCGGAGATCAAGAAGACTTTGTCTTGGAACTTAGATAATAGCTCAACCACAGTAGAGTAGTGCATCAGGTAGAGTCTTAAGGCCCCCATTTTTGACCCTAGCTCCCAGATAATTCTGGACATACCATGGGTCAGAAGGAAACACACTACCTCGAAGGGAAGTAGTCACTCCTGGCAGAATTTATCGTCTTCTGACCAAGAGCCCTGAGCATCAATGGTAGCCAGGCAGTATGAGCTGTGGACCTTGGGTAAGACCCATGCCATGTGGCTTTGGTGTGACCCACCACATTCGTACTGTGGTGGCTATGAGAAGTGACTGCTGTTTGAGGAAAGGAGAGGAAAGACTGGCAAGGAATTTGTCTTACAGCTTGTAAGGACAAGCTGTAAGGAATCTAGCTAGGAATTTAGCTCAGTTGCAGATCAGAGCACCAAGGAGACTCCTAAGTTTCCACACTCCAGGCCCTGGATTCCAGATAGCATTTATGGACCTGTCTTGGGCTGTGGGGAAGCTCACTGATCTGAAGAGAAGGACAGTAGGCTGGCTGGAATAACCACCTGTAGATTGTAGAACACTTGGGCCTTGAGCATCAGCAGTAGCCAGACAGCGGTCACTGTGGGCTCTAGGTGAAACCCAGTGCTGAACTGGATTCAAGTCTGACCTAGCATGGTCCCAATGGTGATGGCCATGGAGGTGCTTGTGTCACCCTTTGCCCAGCTTTATGCAGGTCAGCATGAAGAGACTCTGTTTGAAAGAAAGTAAGAGAAGGAAACAAAAGTCTCTGCCAAGAAATGCAGGGAATTCTTCCTGATCTTATCCAAGACAACAAAGATGGTAACTCTAAGAGTCAGCAAGAGGCACAGCATTAATGGTCTTGGAGTTCCTCCTGATGCAGATATGGCTGCAGTGAACAAAGACTTAGATCACCACAATCACTTCCCTTTGAATATTTAGAAAACCTTCCTAAGAAGGACAAGTACAAACCAGCCCAGACAGTGATGACTACAATGAATATCTAACTCATCAATGCCCAGGCACCAACAAACATCTACAAGTATCAAGACCAACCAGGAACACATAAACTCAAAAAACAAACTAAACAGGCACCAGTGACCAACCTGTGACTGACAGAGATATGTGACCTTTCAGACATAGAATTCAAAATAGCTGTTCTAAAGCAGTTCAACAAAATTGAAGATAATGCAGAGAAAAAATTCAAAAGCTACCAGATAAATATAACAAAGAGATTAAAATAAGCTAAGAGTTATCGGTCCTAAAGAGGATGTAGAGAGAGAGATGGATAAAGTTTTTATTCAAAACGATAATAACAGAGAACTTTCCAAACATAGAGAAAGACACAAATATTCAAGAACAAGAAGGTTACAGAACACCAAGCAGAAATTCTGGAGTAGAAAATACAACTTACATACTAAGGAATGCATAGGAGTTTCTCAGCAACACAAGTGATCAAGCAGATGAAAAAAATAGTGAGCTTAAAGACAGGGTATTTAAAAATACACAGTAAGAGGAAAAAGAAAAATAAAAATGTTTAGAAAAGTGAAGCACATCTACAAGCTCTATAAAATAGCCTCAAAAAGGCAAGTTTAAGAGTTATTGGCCCTAAAGAGGATGTAGAGAGAGAGATGGAGAAAGTTTTTATTCAAAATGATAACAACAGAGAACTTTCCAAACATAGAGAAAGATACCAATATTCAAGTACAAGAAGGTTACAGAACACTCAGCAGATATAACCAAAGAATGCTATGTCAAGATACTTAATAATGAAAGTCTCAAAGGTCAACAATAAAGAAAGGATTCTAAAAACAGCAAAAAAAAAAAAAAAAGAGAGAGGAAGGAAGACAGAAAGAGAGAGAAAGAAAGGCAGAAAGACAGAAAGAGAAAGAGAGAGAAAGAAGCAAATAACCTAAAAAGGAACTTCAACACGTCTGTCAGCAGAATTTTCTGTGGACACATTACAGGCCAGGAGAGAGTACATAACATGTTTAAAGTGCCAAAGGGAAAAAATACCCACTTCATCCCACTATAGCATGTACAGTGAATTGTCCTTCAAACATGAAGGAGAAATGAAGGCTTTTCCAGAAAAACAAAAGCTGAGGGATTTAACCATCACAGAAATGTCCTACAAGAAATGCTAAAAGAGTACTTGAATCAGAAAGAAAAGGGAATTAGTGAACAAAAAGAAATCATCTGAAATTACAAAACTTACTGATGATAGTAACTACAAAGAAAAACATGGGTGATTTTGTACAACACTGTATTTATGGCATATAAACTACTCACATATTGAGTAGAAAGACTAAAAAATGAACTGATAACAAATAATAACTATAGTAACTTCTCGAGACATACACATTGTAATAAGATAAACAGAAGCAACAAATGTTTAAAAGCAGAGGATGAAATTAAAGTGTAAAGTTTTACTAATTTTCTCTTTGCATGTATGTTTTTTTGGTTTGTTTGTTTTTACAATCAGTGTTGTCATTAGTATAAAATAATGGAATATAAGATGTTACTTGAAAGCCTCATGGTAACTTCAAATTTAAAACCTACAATGGATATAAGGCCAGAAATTTAAAATATCACCACAGAAAATTACCTTCATAAAAATAAAGATGCAAGGAAGGGAGGAAGGGAAGAAGGAAGCAAGGGAGGGAGGTCACAAAACAACCAGAAAGCAACTAACAACAAAATGGCAGTAATAAGTCTTTACTTAATATTAAATATAAATAGACTAAATTTTCCAATTAAATGACATAGAGTGGATGAATTAATTTAAAAAACAAGAGTCAATGATCTGCTGCCTACAAGAAATACACTTCACCTATAAAAACACACATAGACTGAAAATAAACGATGGAAAAGATATTCCACGCCAATGGAAACTGAGAGAGGAGTAGCTATGCTTATATTAGAAAAAATAGATTTCAATAGAAAAACAAAAACTGTAAGAAGAGATTAAGAAGGTCATCATATATTAATAAAGGTGTCCATTCAGCAAGGGGATATAACAATTATAAATGTATATTCAACCAAAACTGTAGCACTCAGTTATATAAAGCAAATATTATTAGAGTTCAAGAGAGAGAGAGATCCCAGTACAATAATAACTGGAGACCAACACCTCACCTTCAGCATGGGATAGATCATCCAGGTAGAAAATCAACAAAGAAACATCAGACTTATTGTTTACTATACAACAAATAGATCTAATTTACAGAACACTTAACCCAATGACTACAGAAACCAAATTAGTCTTTTCAGCACAAGGATCATTCTCAAAGATATGCCATGTGGTAGACAACAGAAAAAGACTTTAACATTTAAAAATATTAAAATTATAAAAAATGTCTTCTCTGGCCACAATGGAATAAGACTAGAAATCAATGACAAGAGCAACTGTGAAAACTATACAAACACTTGAAAATTAATCACTATGTTCTTGAATGACAAAGAGGTCAACGAAGAAATTAATAAGAAAGATTTAAAACTTCTTGAAACAACTGGGAGCTCTCGCCCTGGTGCTGCTGCGCGGTGTGGGCAGTGTGGGAGCCGGCACTGGAGGAGCAGCCCTGACCCACGGAGGGGCTGCTGAACTCATTCTAGGGGTTGCTTATAAGCTCCTTAGTATTTTCTACATCAACAAACATTGGAGGGACCTGGGGAAGATGGCCGACTAGGAACAGCTCAGGATTGCAGCTCCCAGTGAAAGCACAGAGGGTGAATGGACGCTGCATTTCCAGATGGATTTTTATTGCCCACAGACCAGGAGATTCCCAGTGGGAGGAGCCCCATGGGTCACCAGCACGGCTGTTTTGGCCTGCGCAGCTGTTTTGGCCCACGTGGCCACTTGCCGGTGCCCTGGCGCGGCAGTTCTCCGTACAAAATACACTGGTCCGGATGCCCTCTTAGCTGGCAATTGGAGCCCCAGGAAGGCAGATCACCCATTCATCTGATGTAAAAGGAGACTGAAATAGGGAGCCAGGCCAGGAGATTTCTGGGCAAAAAAACCACCAGGAATCTCAGTGCCACTGTTTCAGCTGGCTCAGTGAGTTACTGCACAGGAAATCACACAGATCCTGGCCCTTTTCAACAGGCGACTGGAACACCTGAGAGAGAGTCAACCATTCAACTAAAAAAAAAAAAAAAAAAAGACTCTGAGTCAGGGAGCCAGGTGATCAGGCTTGGCTGGCCCTACCCCCCACAAAAACAAACAAACAAACAAAACTAATTGAAAACGCTCTGGGTTGAGAGTTTCACAGCAAGCACAGCTGAACCCGGGACGGTCCAGCTCTGTGGGGGAGGGGCGTCTGCCATTACTGAGGCACTCCACCACTATGGAGGCACTCGGCCATCTCTGAGGCAGCTTGCCATTGCCGAGGCAACCTGCCACTACAGAGAGAGTCCTCCATTACAGAGGTGGGCCACCATTGCCGAGGCAGTTCTAATTATACCCATATAAACAGGACTGCAGGGAAGATCACACGGCAGCAGGGCAGAGCCCACAGCAGCTCAGCAAAGCCTAGGCAGGCAGATACTGACTAGGCTGCCTCCTCACTGGGCAGGGCGGCCCTGGCAAAAAAAAAAAGAAAAGAAAAAAAAGGCAGCTGCACAACGGAAACTCATAAATAAAGCCCTAACTCCCAGGGACAGAGCACCTGAGGAAAAAAAAAAGGGAATTTATGAGTTCTGCTGCAGCAGACCTAAACGTACCTGCCCAGCAACTCTGAATGAACAATGGAGCTCACAGCTCAGCACTTGAGCTCCAATAAAGGACAGACTGTCTCCTCAAGCAGCTCCCTGACCCCCGTATATCCAAAGAGTCACCTCATAAAGGAGAGAACAGACTGACATTTGGCGGGTATCCTTCTGGGACAAAGATAGCAGAAGAAGAAACTGGTAGCAACCTTTACTGTTCTGCAGCTGCTGCAAGTGATTCCCAAGCAAGCAGGGCCTGGAGTGGACTTCAGCAGTCCTACAGCAGAGAGGCCAGACTGTTAGAAGGAAAACTAAAAAACAGAAATAACTTCATCATCCACAAACTGGAAATTCACTCAGAGACCCAATCTGAAAGTCAGCAACTACAAAGACAACAGGTGGATAAATTCACAAAGATGGGAAGAAACCAGCGCAAAAAGGATGAACACACCCGAAACCAGAACATCTTTCCTACAACAAGGGATCACAACTCCTCACCAGCAAGGGAACAAGGTTGGATGGAGAATGAGTGTGATGAAATGACAGAATCAGACTGCAGAAGGTGGGTAATAAGAAACTTCTGTGAGCTAAAAGAACATGTTCTAACCCAATGCAAAGAAACTAAGAACATTGAAAAAGGATTTGACAAAATGCTAACGAGACTGGACAACATAGAGAGGATTATAAGTGAATTGATGGAGCTGAAAAACACAACATGAGAACTTCACAAAGCATGCACAAGCTTCAACAGCTGAATTGACCAAGCAGAAGAAACGATATCAGAGGTCGAAGCTCAACTCAATGAAATAAAACGAGAAGGCAAGAATAGAGAAAAAAGGGTAAAAAGGAATGAACAAAGTCTCCAAGAAATGTGGGACTATGTGAAAAGACCTAATCTATGTTTGATAGGTGTACCTGAATGTGACGAAGAGAATCAATCCAAGCTGGAAAATGCTCTTCAGGATATTATCCAGGAAAACTTCCCCAACCTAGCAAGGCAGGCAAACATTCAAGTCCAGGAAATACAGAGAACACCATAAAGACATTCCTCAAGAAGAGCAACCCCAAGGCACATAATCGTCTAATTCACCAGGGTTGAAATGAAGGAGAAAATGCTAAGGGCAGCCAGAGAGAAAGGTCGGGTTACCCACAAAGGGAAGCCCATCAGACTCACAGCAGATCTCTCAGCAGAAACCCTACAAGCCAGAAAAGAGTGGGGGCCAATATTCAACATCCTTAATGAAAAGAACTTTCAACCCAGAATCTCCTATCCAGCCAAACTCAAGCTTCATAAGTGAAGGAAAAATAAAATCCTTTGCAAATAAGCAAGTACTCAGAGATTTCATCACCACCAGGCCTGCTTTACAAAAGCTCCTGAAAGAGGCTCTACACATATAAAGGAACAACCAGTACCAGACACTCCAAAAACATACCAAATGGTAAAGAGCATCAACACAATCAAGAATCTGCATCAACTAATGGGCAAAACAGCCAACTAGCATCAAAATGGAAGTACCAAATTCACACATAACAATACTAACCCTATATGCAAATGGACTAAATACCCCAATCAAAAGACACAGACTGCAAATTGGATAAAAAGCCAAAACCCATCAGTGTTCTATATCCAGGAAACCCATCTCACGTGCAAGGATACACAAAGGCTCAAAAATAAAGGGATGGAGGAAGATTCACCAAGCAAATGGAGAGCAAAAAAAAGTAGGAGTTGTAATTCTCATCTCTGATAAAATAGACATTAAAGCAACAAAGATCAAAAGAGACAAAGGAGGACATTACATAATGGTCAAAGGATCAATGCAACAAGAAGAGCTAACGATCCTAAATATATACGCACCCAATACAGGAGCACCCAGACATATAAGGCAAGTTCTTAATGACTTACAAAGAGACTTAGACTCCCACACAATAATAGTGGGAGACTTTAACACTCCATTGTCAATATTAGACAGATCAACGAGACAGAAAATTAACAAGGATATCCATGACTTGAACTCGGACCTGGAACAAGCAAACCTAATAGACATTTACAGAACTCTCCACCCTAAATCCACAGAATATACATTCTTCTCAGCACCACATCACACCCACTCTAAAATTGACCACACAATTGGAAGTAAATCATTCCTCAGCAAATACAAAAGAACGGAAATCATAACAAACAGTCTCTCAGACCACAGTGCAATCGAGTTAGAACTCAGAATGCAAAAACTAACTCAAAACCGCACAGCTTCATGGAAACTGAACAACTGGCTCTTGAATGATGACTGGATAAACAATGAAATGAAGACAGAAATAAAGATGTTCTTCGAAACCAACGAGAATGAAGACACAACATACCAGAATCTCTGGGACACATTTAAAGCAGTCTCTAGAGGAAAATATATAGCAATAAGTGCCCACATGAGAAGCAAGGAGAGATCTAAAATTGACACCCTAGCATCAAAATTGAAAGAGCTAAAGGGGCAAGATCAAAAAAACTCAAAACCTAGCAGAAGACAAGAAATAACTAAGATCAGAGCAGAACTGAAGGAGACAGAGACACAAAAAACCCTTCAAAAAATCAATAAATCCAGGAGCTGGTTTTTTGAAAAGATCAACAAAATAGACAGACCACTAGCCAGATTAATAAAAAAGAAAAGAGAGAATAACCAAATTGATGCAATAAAAAAAACGATAAAGGGGATATCACTACAGATTCCACAGAAATTCAAACCATCATCAGAGATTATTACAAACAACTCTAATCACATAAACTAGTAAACCTGGAAGAAATGGAAAAATTCCTGGACACTTGCCTCCTCCCAAGCCTAAACCAGGAAGAAGTCGAAACCCTGAGTAGACAAGGTCTGAAGTTGAGGCAGCAATTAAGAGCCTACCACCCAAAAAAAGCCCAGGTCAAGATGGGTTCACAGCCGAATTCTACCAGTCATACAAAGAGGAGCTGGTACCATTTCTTCTGAAACTATTCCAAATAATCCAAAAAGAGGGAATCCTTCCAAAATCATTTTATGAGACAAACATCATCCTGATACCAAAACCCAGCAGAGACTCAACAAGAAAAGAAAACTTCAGGACAATATTCATGATGAACATACATGCAAAAATCTTCAATAAAATACTGGCAAGCTGATTGCAACAGCGCATCAAAAAGCTTATCCACCATAATCAAGTAGGCTTCATCCCAGGGATGCGAGGCTGGTTCAATATACGCAAGTCTATAAACATAATTCACCACATAAACAGAACCAAAGACAAAAACCACATGATTATCTCAATTGATGCAGAGAAGGCCTTTGACAAAATCAACAGCCCTTTATGCTAAAAACCCTCAATAAGCTAGGTATTGACGGAACGTATCTCAAAATAATAAAAGCTATTTATGACAAACCAACAGCCAATATCCTACTGAATGGGCAAAAACTGGAAGCATTCCCTTTGAAATCTGGCACTAGACAAGGATGCCCTCTCTCACCACTCATATTCAATATAGTATTGGAAGTTCTATCCAGAGCAATCATGCAAGCAAAAGAAATAAAGGGTATTCAAATAGGAAAGGAGGAAGTCAAATTGTCTCTATTTGCAGACAACATGATTGTATATCTAGAAGACCCATCGTCTCAGCCCGAAATCTCCTTAAACTGATAAGCAACTTCAGCAAAGTCTCAGGATACAAAATCAATATGCAGAAATCACAAGCATTCCTATACACCAATAACAGACTTAAAGAGAGCCAAATCAAGAACAAACTGCTACAAAGAGAATAAAATACCTAAGAATACAACTAACAAGGAATGTAAAGGATTTCATCAAGGAGAACTACAAGCCACTGCTCAATGAATTAAGAGAGGACACAAACAGATGGAGAAACATTCCATGTTCATGGTTAGGAAGAATCAATATCGTGAAAATGGCCATACTGCCCAAAGTAATTTACAGATTCAACGCTATCCCCATCAAGCTACCAGCAAACTTCTTCACAGAACTGGAAAAAAACACCTTAAACTTCATGTGGAACCAGAAGAGAGCCCAAATACCCAAGTCAATTCTAAGCAAAAAGAACAAAGCAGGAGGCATCACACTACTGTACTTCAAACTATACCACAAGGCTACAGTAATCAAAACAGCATGGTACTGGTACCAAAACAGAGATATAGAATGGAACAGAACAGAGGCCTCGGAGGCAACACAAAATATCTACAACCATCCGATCTTTGACAAACCTGACAAAAACAAGCAATGGGGAAAAGATTCCCTGTTTAATAAATGGTGCTGGGAAAACTGGCTAGCCATGTGCAGAAAGCAGAAACTGGATTCCTTCCTGACACCTTACACTAAAATTAACTCTAGATGGATTAAAGACTTAAATATAAGACCTAACACCATAAAAACCCTAGAAGAAAATCTAGGCAAAACCATTCAGGACATAGGTGTAGGCAAGGACTTCATGACCAAAACACCAAAAGCATTGACAACAAAAGCCAAAATAGACAAATGGGACCTAATCAAACTTCACAGCTTCTGCACAGCAAAAGAAACAGTCATTAGAGTGAATCGGCAACCAACAGATTGGGAAAACATTTTTGCAGTCTGCTCATCTGACAAAGGGCTGATATCCAGAATTTACAAAGAACTAAAACAGGTTTACAAGAAAAAATCAAACAAGCCCATTCAAAAGTGGGTGAAGGATATGAACAGATACTTTACAAAAGAAGACATATATGAGGCCAACAAACATATGAAAAAATGCTCATCATCTCTGGTCATTAGAGAAATGCAAATCAAAATGACATTGAGATACCATCTCACACCAGTTAGAATGGTGATCATTAAAAAATCTAGAGACAACAGATGCTGGAGAGGATGTGGAGAAATAGGAACACTTTTACACTGTTTGTGGGAGTGTAAATTAGTTCAACCATTGTGGAAGACAGTGTGGCAATTCCTCAAAGACCTAGAAATAGAAATTCCATTTGACCCAGCAATCCCATCACTGGGTACATATCCAAAGGATTATAAATTGTTCTACTGTAAGGACACATGCACACAAATGTTCACTGCAGCACTGTTTACAATAGCAAAGACCTGGAACCAACCCAAATGCCCATTGATGATAGACTGGACAGGAAAAATGTGGCACATATACACCATGGAATATTATGCATCCACCAAAAACAATGAGTTTGTGTCCTTTGTAGGGACATGGATGAACCTGAAAACCATCATTCTCAGCAAACTGACACAAGAACAGAAAATCAAACACCGCATGTTCTCACTCATAGGCGGGGTTGAACAATGAGAACACATGGACACAGGGAGGGGAGCACAACACACTGGGGTCTGTTGGGGGGAAATGGGGGAGGGACAGTTGAGGATGGGGAGTTGCAGAGAGATAGCATAGGGAGAAATTCCAGATATAGGTGAAGGGGAGGAAGGCAGCAATTCACTCTGCCATTTGTGTACCTATGTGACAATCTTGCATGTTCTTCACATGTACCCCAAAACCTAAAATACAATTAAAAAAAGTAAAAAATTTTCTTGAAACAAATTAATATCTTAACACAACATATGAAAAACCTATGTAGTACAGAGAAGCAGTATTAGAAGGAAAGTTTGCAGTAATAAGGGTAAACATAAAAAACAAAAAGAAAACTTTAATAACCTAATGATACATCTTAGAAAACTAGAAAAGCAAGAGCAAACCAAACCCAAAGTTAGTAGAAGAAAAAAAAGATCAAATCAGAAATCAATAAAACTGAAATGAAAAAAAAAAAAAACAAACTAAAAAGTTGGTTTTTTGAAAAGAAAAACACAATTGCCAAAAGTCTAGCAAGACTAAAAAAAAAAAAAAAAAGGGAAGACCCAAATGAAGGAAATCAGAGATAAAATACAGACATTCCTATGAATATTGCAAAAATTCAAAGGATCATTAGAAACTACCATGAGCAACTCTATGCTAATAAGCTGAATAAGCTAGAAGAAATGGATAAATTCCTAAACATTACAACCTACTAAGAGTGAACCATGAAGAAATTCATAAGTTGAGCAGACCAATTACAAGTAATCAAACAGAAACTGTAATAAAAAGTCTACCATCAAAGAAAAGTCCAGGATCTGTTGGCTTCATTTTGAAATTTTGTCATACATTTAAAAATGAACTAATACCAATGCTACCCAAACTATTCCAAAATAAAAGATGAGGGAATATTTCCAAACTCATTCTACAAAGCCAGTATTATCCTGATACCAAAACCAGGCAGAGAAAGAGAAACATAAAAAAAAAAAAAAAAAAAAAAAAATCTATGGGCCAGTATCCCTGATGAACATTGATGCAAAAAATCTTTACAAAATACTAGCAAACTAAATTCAATAACACATTAAAAATGTCCTTCATCAGGATCAAGTGGGATCTATCTCAGTAATACAAGAATGGTTAAACATACACAAATCAATCAATGTGATATATCTTATCAACAGAATGAAGTATAAAAATCATCATTTCAATAGATGCTGAAAAACCATTTGATAAACTTCAACATCTCTTCATGTTAACAAACCATCAAAGCCTACATACAGAAGGAACATACCACACACAATAAAAGCCATGTACCACAGACCCATAGCTAGCATCATAGTGAATAGGGAAAACCTGAAAGCCTTTCCCTCTAAGATGTGAAACCTCACAAGTATGTCCATTTTCAACACTGTTATTTAACATATTACTGGAAGCCCTAACTAAAGCAATCAGACCAGAGAAAGAAATCAAGAGCATCCATACTGGACAGGAAGAAGCCACATTACCTAACCCTACTTGCAGATGACATAATCTTATATTTGGAAAAACTAAAAGAGTTCCTAAAAAAACTATTAAAACTGATAAATTCAGTAGAGTTGCAGGATACAAAAGCAGCATACAAAAATCAGTAGCATTTCCATATGCCAGTGACAAACAGTCTGAAAAAGAAATTTAAAAATAATCTCATTTACAATAGGCACAAATAAAATCAAATATCTAGGAATTAACTCAGCCAAAAAAAGATCTCTGCTATAAAAAATTAAAACACTGATGCAAGTAATTGAAGAGGACACAAACAATGGAAAAATATTCCGTGTTTATAAATTGGAAGAAAAAATATTGGTAAAAATATCAATACTAATAAAAGCGGTCTACAAATTCAATCCCTATGAAAATGCCAATGGACATTCTTCATAGAGATAAAAAATAAATCCTAAAATTTTTATAGAACCACAAAAGACCCAGAATATCCAAAGCCATTCTGAGCAACGAGAACAAAACTGGAGGAACTACATTACCTGACTTCAAATTATAGGACAGAACTATAGTAAATCCAACAGCAAGGTGTTGGCAAAAGTACAGATATAGACTAACTGAACAGAATAGAGAACCCAGAAATAAATCCACATAACCACAGTGAACTCATTTTCAGCAAAGTTGCCAAGAACATACACTGAAGAAAGGACAGTCTCTTCAATAAACGGGACTGGGAAAACCGGATATGCATATGCAGAAGAATGAACCCCTATCTCTCACCATACACAAACATCAAACCAAAATGGATTACAAACTTAAATCTGAGACCTAACACTATTACACTACTAAAAGGAAACACTGAGGAAATTTTTCAGGACACTAGATTTGGTTGCATACACTGTGGGGTATTACTCAACTTTGTATGCAACCAAAGCAAAAACGGACAAGTGCAATCACATCAAATTATAAAGCTTCTGCACAGCAAAGGAAACTATCAACAAAGTGAAGAGACAATCCACAGAATGGGAGAATATACGTTCAAACTATCCATCCAACAAAGGCTTAATAACCAGAATAAACAACTCAATGGGGAAAAAAATCTCATGTTCCAATTAAGAATGGGCAAACAATCTGAATACAGATCTCTCAAAAGCAGACACACAAATGGCAACAGGTATATGAAA